TATTATTTTTGGGAGATTTTCACCTCTTTCTATTCTCATTTCCATGATCGCTCATGGAGTGGTATTGGCTGGATCGCCTTCCCCATTCAGCTTTTTTTCCTTCGATTCAAAATTGAATGTAATTCCATGGTTCTGGTTGCCTTCTATTCACCTTCTTGGCAGAAGTGCCGTAATTATGTGCTGTGGTACTTTTCGCAGAGCATTGTTTTTTCTTAACGATTTTTGGAACGAGAAACTTCAAAAGTTAGGTTTCCATCCATGAAAAAACATGATGCACGACACGACGATGCCTTCCGATGTCTAGAAGATAGAAAACAGTTTCTTTTGTCAAAGAGTGGCGTTACCTGCGCTCGTTCTCGTTGATAATGACTTTCTTTATGATGGGAAACTGTATTCATTGGTTAGGTTCCAGTAAAATTTCTTCAGTGAACCGGTTTTGAGAGGTTCACCATCGTAGCTGTCTGCTCACAGTCAGTCGAAGATCCACTGCGAATCGTGTTTGAACTTCTGTGGTACCCTCTCATTTCTTATACAGAAATGTACCCAATCATTCTCCAGCAAGCCCGTGGTTCATTGTATCGTTCTGTTATTCGGATAGTTTCACCTCTTCACTTTTTTTGGGATTGCCACGTATTCTACTCCCACTCCGAATTGTAGCAGGATCACTTGAATGGAATCGCTTCATCCAGTGACTAGCGCGGACCTCCCGCTGGGCAAGACTTATATTAATTGGACGAATCCCGAAGGATTAAGGTTCACGCGGCTTTGACGGGATATAATCTGAACCTTGTCAGCTAACTATGCGCGAGATCTTATAGGGCCATTTGCTATTGCACCACTTCCGTTCTGCTGCTAAACAATATCTTATACCTTTCTCATCTCTCTTTCCTCTTATTTTTCTCTTTTTTCTTATCTTTCTTGGTTATCTTCCTTCCCGTGTTACTTTTTAATTCCACTCTCTTCGGTATTCTCACCAGGTCTCTTTAGCGATTGAAAAACGTGCACTGACCATAGAGGGTCTTCAGGGTCTAAAGTGCTTTTCAAAACGAGCGCTATCGCAAGATAAAAGGCATCCTCTGAGATCAAGCCTACGAGGGGAAGAACTTCGGGACGAATAAAAATTGCTCATGCAACCAGAAGTCCCTTCTTTCTCCAGCCCCCCCCCCCCAAATCCCCATTTGGCTTGCTCCCGTTTTCAACAAAGAAGGGGTGATCTATTGCATTGCCATCACAATGCCCCGTATCTTGCGATAGCGCCTCGAGACGCTTTTTAGCATGTCGCACGGCCACGTGTAAGGAACAGAGGGAACGTTCACTTCTCCTGAACTATTTCGCAACGCCGAGAACGACATGCTCCTCACATTTCTATTTTCTTATAGCTACAAATTACTAGGAACCTTTTCCCAAACGAATACTATGTAGTGCTATAGATGCTATATGAAAACTGACTATAATAACTGTAAGAATGAACGTTTCTGAAAGAAATAATTCGGTTACTGAGATGATTCCGAATGGTCGAATCTCAACTTCTCAAGATTTCAAGGGATTTCTAGCAAGACGAAAACTTTTGAGAGAAACGAGGGTAATACAAAATTTCAAACACCTTTCCAACGATTCCCAATGATATTTATTCAACCATCCGAAAAAAATCGCTCTTCCTCTTGAACAGCCCCTCGGCAATCACCCTTCCGTTGATCACATTTCAAAAATTTGGCTACCCTTCCACGGCAAAGGGATCTCGATGCGACGCGCAAGATGTGCTCTCGGAATGACCCCCTGATGAAGCGGCAGATCTCCTGATTTCACCTTTTTCACCTCTATTTCATTAACTTTTTACCAAAATCAGCGAGAACCCTTTCTACCGTCGCCACGACTCCTTCAATG